GGGAACCCGATGTGGGGCTCGATCTCATGACCCTGAGATCACAACCGAAGCTGAAAGCAAGAGTCTGATGCCCAACTGGCAGCACCACCCAAGGGCCCCTGTTTGTCATTTTTAGTAATAAATAGCTGTGCTTAATAGATGTCCAGCAGCGGGCCAAGTGTGTTACGTGCTGTTTTCTTCATCCTCACAGCAACCCTCAGAAGTAAGAAATGTCATCTGTATCTTACAGATGTGGAAACGAAGGCATTTGCCCCAGGTTATGTGTTAGGAACTGTCAGACCCAGGATTTGGGTTCTGGTTCTAACAAACTCATTCTGAAAACATTAAAGGATGTGCAAGTTCTACAGTTTTAGTCTTTCACCTTTCACCTCTGCCTTCCACTGTATTTATTTTTTTTAAATACAAAGGATATGTAGTGCTTTGTAAATACTTGAGTTTTCCAAGAAGAACTAATAACTATATTAAATATGGCCACAGAGTCCCAAGTGAACAGATAAATGTAGGAAATGGTTTTATTTCCAAAGGATAAAGGAACGTTAGCTCTACCCCGCCACTGAGTTGGTGTATCTCTTGACTTTCTAGGGTATCTGAAGCGTGGACTTCCTTTCATTCCCCACCCCCTAGCCCCCACTACCTCAGGTTCCATTTGGAGAGAGAGGGGGAGACTAGTGCATAGCTGGTGCTCAGAATAGTTTATGACCCGGAGGGAAGATGGGAAAGGAGAAAGGGATGTCTAGCTCAGAGGGTGCCCCTAGCTCCCAGTTCTAGGCAGTCCTGTCTGGATCAGAGCCAAATGGGGGCTGGGATCGCAGCCAGCCGATGCCAGGGGGTGGGGTGGGAAGGCCCGCATGAATCCTGTCGGGTGCACAGTTCAAACATGCTCCCCTGGAAGCACTTCGGCTGCTCAGTGACTTCCCAGATCAGAGTAGCTTCCTCTAGCGGGTCCGGGGGGCAGTCCGTGCACAGACATGGATCTCCTCCCTGTATCTGTAGCCCAAGGAGCACAGAGCTTCAGGGGCAGGTGCAGTATGGGCAGACTGAGGGCACAAGAGAGGCCCTCTGTGTAGAGGGAATTAAAGCCTTGCTTGAGGATATTTTGTAGGAAAGTAGCAAGTGGTGGTGAAAACAACGTTGAGATAGGAATGGGTAGGGGTTGCTGAGAGTTTGGATCCCTGTCCTGCTACTCTATGGCCAACAAAGAATTGTAGGGGGCGTGGAGAACTTGAGTGACTTGGCCGGTTAAGTGTCCAACTCTTGATCTCTGCTCAGGTCTCGATCTCAGGGTCATGAGTTCAAGCCCTGTTTGGGCTCCATCCTGGATGTGGTGCCTACTTTAAAAAAAAAAATAAATGAGTTGCTGGGCCCAGAGACTATAGGACTTGAGAGAGCTGCAAGGGAGTGCAGGGTTAAATCCTGGGTCCCATTACTAGCTGTGAGGATTTAGATAAGCTGCTTGACAAGGAAACCTTGGTTTCCTTGTTTGTAAAATGGGGATAAACTAGCAGTTCCCTGTGTTGTGAAGATTCAGTGAGATACTAAGAGTAAAGCACTTAGCATGGTGCATGGCGTGTAGGAAGTGATCCAGAAATCTTGGCAGTTCTAGTTACTGGACCCCTGCCCCATCTCTCCTCGTTTTACAGAGACACTTTTCTCCCCAACCTCAGTGTTCTCAGCTGTCAGACGGGGGACAGGTTTGCCCACGATCGGGATGCAGCTACCCAGTACTGCGTGCGCTCCTAAGTGCCTTCCACTGCAGAGTGACTTCTGTGTGCTCGCACTTAATCTAGTGGGATAGACACCATTATTTTCCCATTTTGTCCACAAAGAAACTGAAGACTAGGAGTAAACAACTTGCCCTAACATCACACAGCTGATGAGAAGCTAGGCCTGTCTGCCTCAACAGCCTCATCCTTGCACGTTCCAATCATGTTTCGTGGTAGGTGATCCGGAATAGGAGAGGGACAGTCTCTGGAATCCAGATGTCATTATAACAAAAGGCTGTAAATGTGAACATAAGACTGGCTTTTTAACAAGCAGCTAATTCCCGTAAAGGTGAGCAGTTAGGCGGGTGCTCATGAGTGAGAAACAAGGGGCTTTATCAGGGCATAGCGCCGGGAGAAGGCAAGAGAAAAAGTACAGACATTTCTTGAACGTCGCACAAACTGGCTTAACCTACATCAAACCTGATTTGCTCGAAGCCCTGTGGAATGGATATTAGTATCCCTATTTTATAAACTGATGAAGTAGGCTCAGAGAGCGCATACGACTTCTAAAAGTCACTCTGAATCAAACACTTAAATTTCCCCCCGTTAACTGGTAGGGAGCCGTTTCTGCAGGTGGTGTCCTCTGAAGGCTGAGATCTGTTGCAAACTCCTGCCCAAAGCAGGATCTAACTGAGCCCAGAAGAGGAGCCTCACTTTGAAGTAGTCAAGCACAGGGAAGGTGGTAACGGGAGGACCTCAGCTGTGGGACTGTGGGAGACAGGTTGAGGCCCAAGCGCCAGCTCAGGTTGGGGTAAGTCTAGAAAGAGTGCACTGCTGGGAGTCATTCACACCGCTGCCTTCATCCTTGTCCCTCCCCGCAGCGGTACCCGGGATCCCAGCCTCACCAGCCTCAGCACACAGGCAGGGCCCATCCAACTGCTGTCCTTGGGCCCAACTCTGGCTCCCTTTGCGGCAAAGTGGAAGCTGCCAATCTTACCCACGCCTTTCAGGTCCTCACTTGGGGCTCCCCGGGCGGGCTCCCCGGGCGGGCTCCCAGGAAGACTAGTGCAGGGGGTCGCCAGCCCGGTGTGTTTTGGTTGGCGCGCGCTGCCCTGATTGCGCGCAGACTGACGTTCGCGCAGAGGTTGATGGAATGGTGGGTGCTGGGGGTGAAAGAGCGAGTGGGGCGATTTCCGAAGACGGGTGGGAATGATGATGGCCAGCAAGGAAACCGAAACGGCAACTACCCAGGAGGTGGCCCGGGGTGCCAGCCGAGCCGCAAGACAGCTCCGGGTAGAGGTTGCGGGGAGGCGGTGGCGCGGGGGAGGTGCGCGGAGGCGCACCGGAGCGGAGTGGGGCTGGGCGGCAGCGAGCGGCCCCGCGCAGGCAGGGTCAGGGTGGCAGCGCCGCCCAGGGCTAACGCGGTGCGTTTCCGGCCCCGCCAGCCCGGGAGGCGCAGTCTCAGAGCTGAGAGCTCCGGGGAGGAAAAGGGTGCAGGCGGGCTGGTTCGGGGAAACCCCTGCCATCTTCCTCCCTCCGGCACCAGGCATCTGCTCCACCGCCTGGGGTCTTCGCGGGAGGGCTCTGCGCCCCTTGGTTGCTGCGTTGCTTTCTTGAGGGCGCCACTCCGCGCACCTGTCTTCAGGGGAAGATCCCCAGATAGCCCGGGTTCCCTGGGCTTTCCCTCTTCCCAACTGCACGTTCAGGGCTATGTCTCCTGCCGACTGAGGGCGACCCCGACTGAATGGGGTCGACCGGGCCTTGGGATTGGGGAGCTGGGTGTGTCGTGTCCCACGGGAGCTGTAGAGCCCAAGTCCTGACACTAGGCCTGACATTTCGAGGCCCAGCTGACACCCATTTGTTGACACCCGACGCTGTAGTAACCGGGGTACAATGCACGTGAATGATGGGCTGGATGGGTGCGCTCTTGTGCCGTTTTCCTTTCTTCGGAAAATGGAATGGGGAGCAGCCCGCAGTTCTAGATTGGAGTTCTGGCGCCGTCACGTCACTTCCTCGTCGTGTGGGCCAAGTCCCCTTCTGCCTCCGCGGCGCCACGGGCTGTCATCTCGTTGGCTTGCAGGGCCATTGTGAAGCATCTGGCACCCAGAAAGTACCTGACCAATGACCCAGAAAGTCCCTTCTGTGACCGCATAGAGTGCACTCGTCGGCAGGCCAGCTTGCAGGGGTGGGGAGTGGTGCAGCTTGCTCGTTTCTGTGTGCCACGTTCTAGGCTGACCTGAGGGGCCTGGGAATGGGGTGGAAGAAACCTAAAATCGTGATGCACTTTCCCTCCCCACCTCGGTCGAGGGCCTCTTTCCTCCATCCTTTCCAGTCCCAAACAGGCAGAGGCGGCGGTAGTATTTCTCAGTTCCCAATGGGAGATTTTATTTGTAGACTCGTGAATTTGCCCGCCCATCCCTCCCGCTCGGATGAGTGCGCCAACTCCACCTTCGCCTCACACGTCTGGCTCCCGTCCCAGGTCGCGCCACCTGTGAACAGAGACCTCGGTGTTAGGAGCAAAGAAGGCCGCCAGGGGGCGCTGCCGTCTGGGGAGAGGGCTCAGGGACCAGGGCCTGCTGAGGTCAAGCGTGTTGGAGATCTGGGTTTTGTGAAGGGGAAACCTCCCTTTCAGCTGGACCCCCCAAGCCCTCCATCCCTTCCTCTCTTGGGACCTCGGTTCTCTCATGGGAGGGTGGAGTAATTTGTTTTCTTTCTTATTCTATTTCTTCCCCCCTAAAGAACTTTTTGTTCAGAGTAAATCTTTGAAACATAAATAAATGAAACAAATGTGGGGTGGTGATTTGGTCTAAGAGGGGATGGGATATGGCAGAGCTCTACTTGACTGCCTTCCCCTGAATTTGGAAATCCCTGAATTCCTTTACTCAGACTCATGACTGAGATTCTGAGCCTTAGCAATTATGGACCCTCCTGAGGCCTCCAGACAGGGAGACACCCCACCTCAGAACCAAATTATAATCCTTGCCTCCCTGCCCCTGTCCCTTATCCCACTTATCTCCATGTCTGTTATGAGAAGAGGTCAGCAGGGCTCAAAAAAAAAAAAAAAAAAACAAAACCCAGAACCCCTATTTGGGTCTTGAGAGGCCCCAGCCTAGCTACCACTCTGCTGTGCGGCCTCCATCCATGGTTTCCCCCTCTGTGGGCATGGAGGGGAGTCCCCTTAGCACTGCTAGATAGCCATAGCCCGCAGAAGTCTGGATCCTGGGCCTCTGACTCTGGGGCCCAGCTCCACATCTGGCTCGGGGGCCCGTGTCTCACCCTGGCCGGGCCGTGGTATTGTCACACTCTGTATAGATGGCACATGGGTAGCTCAAGTGATGCAGAGCAGAAGCGGGTACAGCAGCGCTTGACCCAGCGCAGGGCAGACGGTCTGCACATCACCCGGGGCCCTGGGAGGTGGATTCGCGTGGGCAACCCCTCAAACCAGATCCACTGGTCAGCTGCTTCCAGCTGCTGCTTGTCCCCCGAGGGAGTTCTATGCTGGTAGGTCTTCAGGAAGACGATGGGAGGGTCCCCAGTGGGTGATTGCCTCCCCTGAGCTCCAGGGCAAGTGGTCAGGCCATCATCCTTCGATGTCCTGGGGAGCTCGGGCTCCACCTGCGCCTTGCTCTGGCACGCTGCTGTGGGTGACTGCTGGGCTTTGTTCTTCTCCCCCAGCCCCACCTTGGGCTCCCCTGTGGACTCTGATTTCTTGGATTCCAGTATGTTCTTGGGGCACCCAGCATCTTGGAGCTCTTCGTTACCTTGTTCCACTCTATCGCAGACATTGCTGCTCCTGGCACAGGGAAGGAAGGCAGTCAGCAGAGCAGGATGAAGGCCCTGGTCCTCCAGCCTCTCCCTGAGACTGTTGCTATGCGACCAGCTCAGGGGAGAAAGCTAGAGAGGGCCAGAAAGGAAACTTCACCACCAGAAGCCTTGTACCTGGAGGCAGGGGAGGTTTTAAGGCCTGGAGAAAGGCCAGAAGAGGCTGGGGAGGTGAGAGACAGTAACCCCTGGTTAGGACACCCAGGACTAGATGTCGTCTGTGTGGGCTGCTGGCCAGGGTTCTGCCTCTCTGGATTGCAGCTGATGGGGTGAACTAGTCCAGTGTTTTCAAACTGTGCTCCAAGAAACCTTGCGTTTCGGAAGAGACCTCTCAAATGCCCTCCCCACCCTGGGGAAGGGCAGGGGGAGGGTAGAATCCTTTTCTGCCCAACACAATTGAGGCCTGAGGAAAGATACTCCAAGAGAGGGTCTGCTGCTTTAAATAGTTTGGAAAACTATGGGACGAGAGAGGCCTGACCCGTCCAGCCCAGTGTTAACTGACTGCCTGCGCCTAGGAGGCCAGCTCAGAGAGAGGAGCTCTGAGAGGGGGCGTTAGCCTTCCAGTGCTAGGAGACTTGCCCCAAGGGTGTGTGTAATAGACTAAGTCCTCTATAAAGTGGCAGCATTGTCCTAGCTGAGTGTGTGAAGACTCAGGCTCAACATAATGGCAGTACCGATGTTAATTGCTACCACTGAATGTCTGCAGTGCATCTGGCCTGGGACCCTCATACCAGCCCCACAAAGTAGCAGGCAGTGAAGGGGCAGAGTGGCTTGGTGAGCCCAAGCTTTCAAGACCGACAGCCCGGGGTTCAAATTTGCCTATGCCTCTCACCGCCTGTCTGATCTGGGGCAAGAAATTTCACTTCTCAAAGCTTTAGTTTGTTTCCTCATCTGTCAGACTGGGATATCTCTGTTCACCTAATAGGACTGCTATGAAGAATTAACTAGACAGGAAATGCTTGTGAGGTACTTAGCAGGTGCATAATAAATATCAACTTTCTTAATATTCTGACATATTTTATGAGGAAGTGGAGCCTTAGCAAGATGGCTGGTCTGCAGGTGAATCTCTGGGTTGTGTGCATTTGAGGGTGGGGAGGAGGAGGAGGAGTGGCCCCTCTTGCTTGGGTGGTGCCCAGTTAGTGGTTAGTCCCATAATTGGATGATTGTGACGATGGTTAGGATCACAGCTCTGATACCACACAGGAGTGGCTTCAAATCCTAGCTCTGCCACTTACCGGTTTAGTTAGCTGGGACAAGTCACTGCCTCTATTGAGTCTCAGCTCCCCGTCAGTGAGCTGGGGCTAATAGATCCTTTATCATAGATCCCTGGTCAAAGTCAGGTTTTCTAAATTTGTCAGCATAGACAATGCCTGTTCCCAGTGAAGATAGCCATTGGGTCCATGTTGGGGGCCAGGGGTGTGCCGAGCTCACCCAGTGGAGATCCCAAGGATCTTTGGAACTCTGAGCAGTGAATTCCAACACCTTTTGGCCAGGTTATGCAGTTCTTGGATCCGGGGGTTCGAGCTCTTGAGCAGCTTCAAGAGTGACAAGTTTTTTAATACCTGTCGGGGTTGAGAAACCAGGAAAACAGAAGCTTCAGCTTTCTTGGGGTGGCCTCCCACACCCCACCTAGACTTTGGCTCAACTCAGTTCCGTGCTGGGCCTGGTGACTCCTGGGTCACTACAAGCCTAGCAATCCCAGACCAAAATGGGGCACCTCACCATCTTAAGTCGGTTCCGGCCGATTACTTTGCTGACAGGTTGTGGTATCTTGTCCTGTGGTTCTTCATCTTGTATCTGAGAGACAGAGGGAGAGAGTGCGCGAACGTAGGAGAAATCCCCCCCACCCCAAACGCCTCTACTGTGCTTCTCCATTTGGCTGAGCATGGATTGACCAACCTTTGGGAGTTTTGTCACCTTGGTTTGGGGGCAGAAATGGGGAGACCATTCTAACTCTCCTGACCTCCCTTCACCCTTCAGCTCTTCCTTCCTCTCCCCCCACCCCAGGCTGGATAGCCCCTGCTCTGCGTGTGGTCTAGCCCCCTCTGTGTCCACTCCTAAGTCCAACCTTGGAAACCATTCTATTCTTGGGCCTCTTCTTTGCTGATGGACTCATACTGGGGCTGTGAGACCTCAAAGACAGATGGAGCAAGACTGGTACCAGGCACCACCTGCTCCCTGCCCCTCTAAGTTGGGCCAGCACTCAGGCTGGCCGTCAGGGTGGCTCTGCTGGAGCCTCCAGCTAGGGGAGCTGTGACATCACTGAAATTTGTGACAGCAGCAGGGCTGGGTCTCCAAGGAGTACGTGTGTGGCAGGGGTGGAGGGTGAGGAGGAAACTCCCATCTGTGGAAAAACCTAGTAGGTACCAGACAGAGGCATACACTATCAACACCTCCCTGTGAGGTAGGAGAATTATCTCCTCTTTTTAAATAAACAAGCCAAGGTTCAAAGAGTTTAAATAATTTACTCAAGGCCACATAGGGAGCTGGAAATTTAAGGTCTGGCCGTCAACACATGAAACCAGGCATTCCCAACTATGCTCATCTGTTCACTCATGTCATATGTTGACCGTGCACCTGCTACATTTGTTATTCTAAGCACTGAAATAAAAGACAGTTCTTACCTTCAAGGAACGTACATTCTAGTGGGGGAAAAAAAATAGTGGGTGTGCTTGTGACTGTTTTACATTTGGCTCTCTGAAACAAAATGTGTGTGTGTGTGTGTGTGTGTGTGTGTGTGTTTATTATGAATTTTACTGATAGAAATCTAAAATAATAAAATTCTACAACACTCTTTGTTATAAATTCCAAAGAACCAGTTCATTCATTTTTTTTTAAGATTTTATTTATTTATTTGACAGAAAGATCACAAGTAGGCAGAGCAGAAAGCAGAGAGAGAGGTGAAGAAGGCTCTCCGTCGAGCTGAGAGCCCGATGTGGGGTTCGATCCCAGGACCTTGAGATCATGACCTGAGCGGAAGGCAGAGGATTAACTCACTGAGCCACCCAGGCACTCCAGTTCATTCTTAAAGTATGCTTTTCTTGGATTTTGCCTAACTCCCATCCATAACCGACCTATGGCTGCAGAGCATGAACAAGTGGAGTTCCAACATAAATGCTGACATTTTCACTTACACTAAACAGGAAGAAGAAGGTACAAAAGTGAAAGAATAAAAATGGTCGAATTTCACTCATTCATCGGTGACATATTGACTCATCTGCTGTATTGGATCAGAGTTTTCAAATACCGAAAGTGTATTTTCTCAGATTTTTTTCACGGTGCGCTGTTTATAGTGGACTAGCTACAGATGGGACATACGTGTTTACACTTAATTGCATTATTAATGTCTCCTCCGTTGTTTCTTAAGGCTAGACCAGGGGTCAGCAAATTTCTTCTGTAAAGGGCAAGATCATAAGTATGTCAGGCTTCGCAGACCATATCATTACAGCTGCTCCCCTCTGCTACTGGAGTGTGAAAGCCGCCACGGATGCTAGCAAATGAGTAGGCATGGCTGTGTTGCAATAAAACTTTATTTACAAGAATAGTTGGAGTGGATTTGGCCCATGATCAACCCCTGGTGTAGACAATCAATAATATAATAAAACCTGATTTATAGCAAGTACCTGTGTCTCTGGGGTTAGAAACTCCTACCAGGGCTGATTTCAGGCTACCAGTGTGATGTCACTGAATGCACAGTTGAATGGAAATGCACAGTAGCCTACCATTCTATCCACTGTCGTCCTACAGATGGGAAGATTCTCAAGAACACAGACAGTAGCAAAAGGTAGCAAGCATCACTGGAAAGTGATGAGTTTGGGCATTTTTCACCTTTGTTTTTAACATCATTAATTTAATTAAGTTTGCATAATTTAATTCTTAATGATCTCTATGCTTAATGACTGGTCAGCGGAGTTCGTGGAAGCATAATAGGCTTTTACAAGCCCTTATGAGTCAGTTCCAGCACACCACTGTCATGGCAGAGGGAAATAAGTGTGGGGAGAAACATAAACAGGGCAGAGGGCCGAGGGAGAGCAAAGTAAAAGGTTTGCTATTATTAAAAAGGGTGGAATGGGCAGCATTCGCCAACCAGATGAGATTTGAGCAGGGACCTGAAGGCAGACTGGAAGCAGCAGGACATGAGGGTGGGGAGAGGGGGTTGTGGTGAAGGGCTGGGGCAGAGGAGGGCTGCTCTGAAGGACCTGCCTAGCTGGCCGCATGGGTAACCAGAAGAGCCTGTGGAAAACAGCTTCCCAGCCCCCAGTCGTTCAGCCAGTCCGATACCCAGCGGAGCGAGAACTACTCTCCACCACACTGCCTCTAGGGCAGGGGGGTGTGCAGGCATAGGGGCTGCTTAGCCCTGGCTTTTAGGGGTGACAGACCAACCCTAGGCTACAGAACATCTTTGTCCATGTCAGTGTCCTTTATTATTAGGGTGAACAGGGGAGGTTAACGTTCTGTGACCCAGGGGAGAAACCTGGAGGTGACTCAAGAGTGGGGGACACTCCCTCTCTCCTTCTCCCTTCTGTCCAACCCACTACTCCTGGCTCCTCTTCTTGCCGGCACGAGTTCAGCCCTTACCACGTGGACTCTGGTGGGCTGCCTCCAGGCCCTCTACAACGGCCACTCAGTGCCCAGGTGTCAACGTCCTGGGGTCCCACTGTGTGCTACACACTCGGGAGAGCAACATTGCAGGCAGAGCATGCTTCCTCTCAGGAAGTTCATGGGCCCGGGGGGAGGTACCGCTAGAATATGGGCTTTCCAGTGACAGTTTTGTCTGTTCTATTCGTTGATAAACCCCCAGAGCCTGGTAGGTCCCAATAAGGATTTTTTGAAAAAGTGAAGTAAACAGCATTACCAATGACAAAGGTAATCCCAGGGGCTGGTGGACTCCAGAAGACCAGCCTACGGAGGTTGGACAAGTCTTCGTAGACACGGTAACGAGGAATGAAGGAGTGGAAGTTGGCCGGACAAAGGGATGTGAGCTAGGCTGCATGTTCTCAAAAGAGGGAATTTTGAAAACATAGGTGTGGAAAAGGATTATGAACAGTTATATGTTGCTAGAGTAGAAAGAAGGGACCCAGAGTGCCGTGGCTGACTGTTTGGGGCTTTCCCACCAGGGGACTTGGAGTTTGTCCTGAGGCTCCAGAGACCCCCCTGGAAGGGCTCTGGCAGCCAAGGCAAAGTGGCTAGATTTGGTGCTGGGGGCCTGGCCTGCTGGCCCTGCCACTCTGTTCTAGTCCGCGCTTTCCCCTCACGTGCTCACCTCCCTCAGAATCGGTGTCTGTCTGAGCATTTCACCCCCTGGGCAGGGAGTTCTCCATGCCCAGACTCTACTCCGGCAGAGACTCCCACAGCCATTTTCCATGTTCCATCTTGTCTGGTCCTTCCATTTACACAGGAAACCCACTGGTGGGGAGGGAGCCTTATCCAGTGACACACAGCCTTGTGGACCAACTCCAAGGCTCTTGAGTGGAAAACCACCACTCTTTCTCTCCTTAGTTGTGGTGAAATACACATAACTTAAAATTTACCGACTTAACCATTTTCAAGTGTACAATTCGGTAGAGTTAAGCACAGTCTCTTTGTTGCGCAACCATCACCACCATCCATCTCCAGAACTCATTTTCGTCTTGCAAAACTGAAGCTCAATACCCATGAAACATTGACTCCCTATCTCCTGGCCCTGGAAGTCAGCTTTCTGCTTTCTGTCTCTAGGAATGTGACTGCTCTAAGTACCCTTGTAAGTGGAATCGTACAATAGTTGTCTGTTTGTGTCTGGCTTATTTCACTTAGCACAGTGTCCTCGAGGTCCATCCATGTCATAGCCTGTGTCAGAATTTTCTTCCCTTTTTAAGGCAGAATAATATTCTACTGTATACCACATTTTGTTTATTCATCTATCCATGGGCACTTGGATTATGTCTACCTTTTTTGGCTATTGTGAATAATGCTACCAGGAACATGGGTATATGAATATCTCTTTAAGACCCTGCTTTAAATTATTTTGGGTATATACCCACAACTAACTGGATGATATGATGATTCTATTTTTAATTTTTTGAGGAATTGCCATGCTGTTTTCTGTAGCGGCTGCACCATTGTACATTTCCGCCAACAGAACACAAGGGTTCCAGTTTCTCCACATCTTCACCAACACTTATTTTCTTCCTCCACTTCCTCTTTTCTTTCTTCTCCTCCTCCTCCTCCTTCTTCTTGCTCTCCTTCCTCTTCCTCCTCCTTCTTCTTCCTCAGATAGCAGCCATCCACAGGGTGTGAGGTCCCGCTCTTGTTTCCTCTCATAGTTTGTGCTTTGGAAACTTTGAAGTCAGGTTTATTGGGATATCTTCTAATTCAGTAAAATTAGTCCTTTTTAGTGAACAGTTCCATGAGTTTTGACAAGTGCAAACCATCACAATCAATATACAGAATGTTTTATAATCCCCTCAAGTTCCCTCCCACCCCGTGCAATCTCTTTGCAATTAACCCCTTCCCCTTTCCTGGCGCTGGAAACAGCTGATGCATTTTCAGGCCCTACAGCTTTGCCTTTTCCAGACCATCATATAAATGGACTCCTGCAGTGCAGAGCCTTTTTTTTTTTTAAGGCTTTTATTTATTTATTCAACAGAGATCACAAGTAGGCAGAGAAGCAGGCAGAGAGAGAAGAAAGGAAGCAGGCTCCCTGCTGAGCAGAGAGCCTGATGCAGGGCTCCATCCCACCACCCTGGGATCATGACCTGAGCCAAAGGCAGAGGCTTTAACCCACTGAGCCACCCAGGCACCCCTGCAAAGCCTTTTGAATCTGGAATTCCTTCCCTTCACACAACGCATCTCAGATAAGCACATCTCAGCAGGCGGTAGTTTGTTTTCATTGCTGAGTAATATTTCACTACTGAAATGAGTACGCTACTGTGTGTTTCCTAATCATGGAATTGCATCTGGACTGTGTTTTACAGTTTTGAATAAGGTTACCAAAAGCACTTGTGTGCAGGTTTATGTGGGAATATAAGTTTTATTTCGCTTGAGTAAGTACCTAGGAGTGGGACTACTGGATCAGATGGTAATTGTATGTTTAACTTAATAAGAAATTGCCAAACAGCTTTCCAAAGTAGTCATTCT